CGTACAGTGTAACACTCGTTTTCTATAATGGAAAATATAATAAATAAATAGAATGTAATATTAATATATTAGACCTAAATACTGCTAAAAGAATAACTATTTGGAGGCCTAAGGCAGTGGTTTAGGTGGCCTACTCCTTGGGTCGGGTTTGATTGTAATATGTAATAAAATATTAAGTAAACAAAGAAAAAATATATTTTGGTATTGTTAATTTTTTTTAGCTTGCTCAAAGATTTATTTGTTAATGGATTATATTTTGGATTCTTAAAAATTTTGACAGTTATAAATATATGATTCTCTTTCGTATGTTGTTAACACAAGTTGTAGAATATGCATAAGATATAAATTTTAATGTGAAATAAATGGTAAAAATTCCTAAGATCATATTCCTGGAGTTTTGCAACCTTTTAGGGTTATCAAAGGAATTTAGAAGAAACTTTAAACATCTTGCTAGTTGGAGAGCTTAGGGAACACTTGAAATATAAAATAGGGTTTGGTAGAAAGAAGTATTGAAGGGAGATACATTGACCCCGCAAGTCTTACACAAGCTGAAAAGACCGAGATGAAATATAAGACTAGATATGCCATTATCTTATGAATCAGAGATAAAGTATTAAGGGAAATCGCAAGGGAGAGGACTATGATTGAGATGTGGGTCAAACTTGAATAATTATATATGATCAAGTAATTGACTCAAAGATTGTGTCTGAAACAACAATTTTATTCTTTTTGTATGGTGGAAAAAAATCTATTATGGAGCAGCTGGAAATTTCATAAGATCATTGATGATTTGCGAAATATTGAGGTTAAAATTGACGATGAAGACACTTCTCTTCATTTGTTAAGCTCATTATCCAGATCCTTTAAGCACTTTAAGGATGTCATTCTTTATGGTAAGGAATATACTATCCCTTTAAATAGAGTTCAGACGATTGTAAGATCAAAGGAGTTATCAAAGTTGAAATATTTGAAGGTTGAAGATAATGGTGAAGACTTAAGTATCTCAAGAAGAAGGAGTGAAAGTAGAGGAAATTAGAAAGGGAAAATATATACCTCAAATCCGAGTCTATTTTTTTATAATTTAAAGTTTAAATATTTTTCACAAAACCGATCACTTCAAAAAGGATTGCCTTGAAAGAGAGTTAGAGAAGTGTTAGTGCACTATTGGTAACAAGTTGAGAGATAAAGAAGAGTTGAATTATAAAAGAATATTTTTTAACTTTGGATCTGAAAGTATTTAAAAGAATATTCTTGCAAAGTTCATGGTATTGATTCAACCTGGCTGAAAAATGTTCGATGATCGCGAGTTCCTTTTGCACAATGTGAGGTATGTTTTTGAACTTAAATGAAATTTTGTCCATAAGAATCTTTGAACGTGAGGTGTTAAAGTTTTTGCATGGTGCATTGATAATAGCTAAAGGGTCCAAAATACGTGGATTGTATATTTTGGATGGTTCACCGTTATTGGTTATGCATCGTAGCTACTAAGGACCTTATTGATAAATCAAAGTTGTGACTTTTGAGATTAGTGCTTGTCACTGAAATATGTTTAGTTGAACATTTTAATCAAGGTTTTCTAGGAAGTGGGAAATTAAATAAATTAGGATTTTTGCATTCTAATAAAATAAAACAAGAGGAAGTTTGAGAATAGTGTACATAATTCTAGTGAATCTTTTGAATATGTTCACTCAAATATATAAAATCCGACAAGGGTGGGAACTTATAGGATGGATTTTATTTCCTCTATATTATTGATGATTTCTATAAATTAGCACGGGTCTAAATTTTGAAAAGTAAAAGAGACACCTTTAAAAAGTTTAATGAATTTATAGCAAATCAACTAGAACCTAAGTTGGATGTATTAATAATAAATAATGGTCTAGAGTTTGTTTAAGAGAAGTTTTCTAATTTTTGCAAGAAACAAGGTACTTAGAGGCATAGAACCGTTGACGACACACATCAACAAAATGACTTAGAGGAACACATGAATATAACTATTTTGGAGAGAGTGGGATGCATGTTGTTGGGATTTAGGTTAGCAAATACTTTCTGGGCTGAAGTTGTTGCTACATCTGATTTCTTGATTAATAGATGTCCATCAACATGAATGAAATCAAGACACATATAGATTTTTGTAGTGGCCAACTTGTAAACTACTCAAATATAAATATTTTTAGAGGTTTTATTTTTGATCATATCAAATAAAACAAATTTGATGTTAGGATTGTGAAATGTGTCTTCATTGGTCCCGAAGAGGTGAAGGGTTACAAACTATGGAAGATGGATTCTGGAATATCATAATTTATTATAAGTAGTGATGTTACTTTTGATTATATTTGCATATGGATAAAGTGCAAAGACCATGAGGCTAAAATATTAGAAACAATGGTGGAAAAGACTCACTTTAATGTGGAGATTCCTAAAAGTGAGACTATAGACAAAGATGTATTTTAGACTTTTGTTTCTAGTACTATCGAAGGGAAACATATAATGTGTCCTAATTATCAGCTAGCTCGTGAAACACTTAGGACAAATATTTTACCACCTCAAAAGTATGGTTATGTTCATATTATTTGTTATGATTTAAATGTGGTTGAAGGGTTGCTAGACTCAGAACTAAAGATATTTAAAGAAGCAACCAAAACCCAAGATACTCAAAGATGGTTGTTGACGGTAAATGATGAGATGAATTCAGTAATGAAAAATTGTACTTGGGAGCTTGTGAGAGTACCTAAGAAACAAAATATGGTTAGATACAAGTGGATATTCAAGAAGAAGAAAGATATTCCAATAATTGAAGGACAAACGTTTAAGGTAAGTGGTGTAGTGTAGGGTTCTAATCAGGTGGATGAGATTGTTTACGATATTCACCCGTGGTAAACTATTGTTCTATAAGAATACTTATGGCAATTATAAATTAATATAATTTTGAGTTACAATAGATGGAAGTCAAAACAACTTTCTTACACGGAGACCTTGAAGATACAATCTACATGGAACAAACTGAAGATTTTTTAGAATATAAGGCTAACATATGTTTATTCAAGAAATATTTATGTGGGTTGAATTAAAGCCCAAGAAAATGGTATTATTGATTTAATGAATTTCTTATTAAACATGGTTTTGTAAGAAGTAATTATGAAATTTGTGTATACATGTTGAACAGGAATGACAAAGTCATCATTTATCTCATTTTGTATGTTAAGGATATTTTGATGGCAAGCTCTAGGAATATAGAAATCGACAAGCTTAAGGAGGCTCTGAATGGTGAATTTCATATGAAATATCTTGGTGAAGCTAAATCAATTTTGGGTATGGGTATCAAGAGAATCCAAAAGAAGAGTGAATTTTTCTTATCTCAATCAAGTTACTTGAAGAAAGGGGTATAGCTGTTTAGAATGCAAGATGCTAAAATTGTTAACACTCACTTGATTCATCACACAAAGCTTTAGGTTAATCAATATCCTAAAATATAGGAAAAGAAGAAGATAATAAAGAGTACTACCTATAAAAATGATATTGGAAGAATCATGTATGGTATGATTTGTACTAGATCGGACTTAGTATATGCAATAAGTATAATAAGTCACTTTATGGAAAATCTTGGCCAATTTCATTGGGAAGCTTTGAAGTAGATGTTGATGTATTTGAATGGTTCTATAAAGAGTGTTTTAAAGTACAAAAAATCAACTCAAGAGGAAGACACTTTGGAGGATTTTTTAGATCCAGATTATACAGGTAATGTAGACACTAGAAAATCTCTATAAGATTTTATGTTTATATTGTTTGGGAGAACTATAAGCTGGAAGGAAGATAAACAATCAATGATCTTGCTATCTAATATTAAAGCCAAATATACTGCCCTTGTTAAAGGGGTTAAGAAATCCATATGACTGAAAGGGATGATTGGAGAGTTAGGAGTTACTCAAGAATGTGTGGAGATAAATTATGATAGTCAAAGTGTCATTCACTTGAAAATCATCAAAATTGTCATAAGAAAACAAATACATTGAGATTTGTTTATACTTCACAAGGGACATAATTGTGTCAAAAGAGATTCATGTTTAGAAAGTTCACTTAGATGAAAGCTATATATATATATATATATATATATATATATATATATATATATATATATAATCACCAAATCATTTTCAAGATCAAGGTTCAAAAATTGCTTAGACTTAATCAAATTTGTTGAAGAGTGATTCAAACTTTGGAGAAAGCAACAAGGTCGTTGGTGGTTCAATTAACATCATCATCAATTTAAATTTAAGGTGGTGAATTATTGTAACATGCCTTAAAACTACAAGTGATTAAAAAAACATATCTCAATACTGCCAATTTTCTGGGCTTGTTCGCGGATCTGTTCATTAATGAATCTTTTCTTTGCCCCGTTAAGGTTTTGGAAGTTATAAATATGGTTTTCTCTCATTTATTATTAATGAAAGTTGTATAAGGTTCATAAGGTATAAATCCCAGTGACATGCAAATGGTAGAAATTTCTAGGATTATATTCTTGAAGTATTGTTCTCTTATCTCACCCGTTCTTCTTATTAATCAATTTTATTCACCATACATTGTCTTAATACCAAGAGAGTGAAAATCCTATCTTGAGTGTTTTGTATTTATGATGATGTGCTTAATTTGTTTATTTAAGATCTTAGTTCTCTTATGCATTTGCAATTGATCACTTGCAGGTTGCAAGCTAAACATGTGAACAACTTGGTGCGAGGAAGATTCTTGGTATGAATATATGTAAAATCTCAAGTTATTGATAGTGAAAATTTCAACAAGAAACTTTTGGGGACTGTAATAGACCATGTGGTTTAAAGTCTAACCAATATAATCTTTAGAGTGATCTCTATATCTCTATCTCTTTTATTTCTATCTTTTATTTTTTCCGCTGCCTAATTTTCTAGTTCTTCTCCTTCTCTTAAAATCAATTAACTTAAAATATGATAAAATAAAGAATTTAGCACGATAATATAAATATATACCTGACCAAAGCAGAAAACTGGAACAAGAGGGTGACCCATCTCCATTGCTATTCGAACAAATCCTCTTCTTTCTTTAAGAAATACATTCTATATACAACGTACATACTTCTTATTAGGAGAAAATTACCAATGGTCTGAATTATTATTATCGTTCCAAAAAATGTAAGAATTTACAAGTTTAATAATTTAAGTAATGTACCTCAGAATCATGCTCCATAAAAAGAGTTTCTCGATTTCCACCGGGTACTAGAATGCAACTATGGCCAGATTCCAACAAGGAAATTAAGTTTTTCTTCGCCACTGATGTAAAACCCAACCATGTCCATACTTGTCTCAAAAATGGTACATAAAAAGACTATTCATTCATAAAATGAGATAAGAACAATTATTATATTATAATAAACAACTTTTGTTAATCAAAGAAAATGGTCGAGTAAATAAGATTCTTACTGTGCTGGTAACAAGAAATCTTATTTTTGAAACAGACATGAAGCCTACGTTGTCATGAAGTGCAAAGATGCCGAATGGAAAAACTGAATGTGGCTCATATCCAAAAACTGCATAAAGGTTGTGATGTTATTTTTATCAAAGGTTAAATAAAATCAATGTACAAGTATTACATGTATTAGAAATAAGGATGGCCTTATTTTCTTTGAACTTGTCGCCATATTATCCATGAGCCCTTCAAGTGCATGACATGTCATACCCCTGAAGCTATCCATCTTTATGTTGATTAGAATTAAGTCCTTCATGTTTTTTCCATACTTCTATAACTCTATAAGTGGCATAACATTTAGTACAACGCCCATATCCACAAAGATCTAGATCAAAATTTTGCTATTAATTTAAACTTTGATTAACAATGACTTTATATGCTTAATCATTTCTTGACTTGAATTTTTAAATGAAATAACTTCATATAAAGTGGCCCAACTATCGTCTTTAACAAACATGATATCTTAAATTTCATCTAGTTAGGTTTATATACCATGGAACTTAAAAGAGATTACATCAATGACTTGCATCTCAACAATGATGTTGTAGTATCATTGTGTTAGTACTATGTTTTTTGGATTGGTATAATTTTTTGCTAAAACATGGTTTGCAGTTTGATGTTAAAGCAAATGTTTTAAACATGTTGGTCAAGTTCATTTGAAAGCTGATGTTCTAACATATGTTGTAACATCCGGTTCCAATATCAGTACAAGTTATTTATTCTTGACAAATCTTTAATTGATTCTATGAGATTTAAGTTGTTTTTATCTCACTAATTTATCGCAGGTCAAGAATTATAAATCTAAAATAAATGATTTATCTCCAGCTGTACACAGGTTGTTATAATTAGTTGATTGAGACAATTTATGAAACCTTGTGTTTTCCAGGATTCAAGGAGATTTTCCTGCACAGGTTTGTGCAGCTTTCAGCTTGTGCAACAAAAAATATTTTGGCGCAAATGCAAGGTCCAAGGATTGCTGAAGAGTATTTAAATAAACTACCTAGATCTAAAATCATTAAGAACTTTGTAAAAAATAAGAGGAAGCATAATTTTCTTAGTCTTAGGTTTTGAGGGTTCTTCAAGGGGTTTTTATTTTTGTCTATACTTCTGCATGTATCTTTTGATGCATTTGAGTTGACTTATTGTTACTTGACAGTTTATCAAGTTATTGTTCTCACTCTAAATCTTTTAAGCAAGAGTTTGAGTATTGTGATTGAAGTGTAAACTTCAGTTTAGTTTGGTTTCAAGTCACCGTGATTGTGGCTTGATTATAGATTGCCCCTGGGATTGGGATAGGTCTTTTATCACAGTGAATGGAAGTGAGATGGTGATTTCTCATATCTAGGAGGTGCCTAGGTAGAAGCTGTATTGGGTAGGAATTAGGTGAGAAGTTGTAAACTGTGACTGTTTAGGCTTTGAACTAATACTATTGATAGTGGATTTCGTTCCTGGCTTGATAGCCCCCAGAGTAGATGAGTTGCACCAAACTGGGTTAACAATTCTGTGTGTTCTTTTTCATTCTGCAAGTTATAATTCTGCTTTGTTATCTTGTTTGTTATTCTGTCAGCAAATATCATAACATCTGTTATGACATTATATGTTGTTAAGACACCAGTCTTACCATCTGATATTGTGTGCGCCAGAGTTTCACATTTCTAAATAAAATCTCAACCATTTGACCTCATCCAACACCGAAAATCTAAATGGTGATACAAGATTCTCATAGCCAGCTTACTCTTATAGGAATATAAGGTTTTGGTTGTCACCTACTAATTTTGGACATGTGACGCTTAGACCAAGTGTATCATTGGCTTATTAATAAGAAACCTTGTGTGGGGTTTGCATATTCTTATGTTTCACATTAGGAGACGAATATTAGGCATCACTTGAGTCATCGAGATGTACCTCGTGTTTAATTTGAGGAAACACTTTGTCTAGGATTTCTAATATTCTAGGTGATGATATCTTTTATTTTCCTTGGTTATGGACTATGGTAATCAACTATAGAGTTTACTTTATATTTTATATAAAATGAATTATTTTTTGCCTCCTTTTATAAGTTCTAATTAACGTGGTTATGTGAGTTGTTTTAGCCTTAATTTTCTCATTAAATATTAATTTCTATTTAGGTACATTTTCCCAAGGTTTTTTCCTTTCTTTGAGTTTCCAATTCCATGTTGCCCTTGACAGTGATTTCAAGATCACTAGTTCTTTTTCTATATTAACATTGGCTACCCTCATTTTTCCGTTAGACTTAATATCCACAACATTTATGAGTAAAGTCAATTGCATGTGGATTAAGTCAGGGGCTTGACCTTTCTCCCCAACATTTGTGTAGGGACATTTGGACGGCCCAAAACTTTAAATATCAATAAACTCTTCTTAGGTCTTGAATAACTTACCCAATATTGGGTGGGTTTCTAATTTTAAAATTACCAAGCATTAGGACTACTTTAGTGATCAGGATATTAAATATATTTGTTTCATTTGTCTCATTTCTACTTGTAGGGATTAAGCTGATCTAACTTTATAAAGCCAAACTTACTTCACTCTTCGCATATCCTTCTCATATGCCTAGAACCCTATAGGTTTTAAGGAAGACACTTTATCCACTTATGATTGGAAAATATTGGTATAAATGACTATCTCTACCATTTCTTTATCGACCAACTTAAACTCACAATTTATGATAGACTTCAAAATGAATTTTTGAAAAACAATACAATTAGATGTTATGTGGTTATAAGAGTTTTTACACTAGCACTTCCTTTTTCTTTTAATTTCCTTGACTGTAGGAAATTTGTGACCATATAATAACTAAATGTATTTATATGTAAACGAATAATCTAATATCTAGCAAGCTTTTGTGATATAAAAGGCATACTTCATCTTATCTTCTAATGGATTAATTCTATTCCTTTTAATAGGTCTCATGAAAGGACACAAATAGTTTTCCTTTTAGGATCGCAACCTATAATATATATTTCATGGTATCATTAACCATATGTAAATATTGTTCCTCCATATTAATGTTGGAGACCAACAATTTTATTGGCCTACACGTTTCTTTTCCTCTCCTAGATGAAGTAGTCGATGTGTGCTGCTCTAGAATCTAATTCTTTTAGATCATAGAAATTTTTTCTAACCAATTTACCTTTTAGTTGAGGATGCATGCCATTAATGCATATCATGTGCCATAAATTTTAACTGAACATTTGCTAGCCGTATTATTTTTTAAACCTTTTTACTGTAATATACAACCAAAATATCTACTTTATCTTTTCTCGCTTTTTTTCTTCAGATTTTTGCAGGCTATACTTAAAATATGCCGTTATAAGGGCCCACCCCGCGCCTCATTTTTTATGAGGTCGGCCAAGGTTTTAGACCCACACCCTTAATTATTTGCTATTTTTTATGGGCTCTTGCGAAGCGAGCCTAAACGGGGCGGGAATGCCCATTTTCCATCCCTAATACTATTCATGATCTTAATTTGGATCTCAAATTACTTCTTGATTATAATATATTTGAGTTAGGGATTCAACAACTACTTTCCATGAGGTTTAGCCTTAGTTGCAACTGGTTGACGCCTCTCATTATTTGACGAGTTTTAGAAACCTTGTTAAAACTAAATCTTTGGTGGGGAATTTCTCCATTATTTTTCTCTTAGTTTTCATCACCATTATTTCTTGCAGAAGTTCCAAATAAAATTGTTGCATTATATTAATAAGTTGATTGGAAATTTATATTTGTGCACCAACATAATAAACATGGCCTAAGTGTTGTCAAACCCACTTGGGTGGAATTTGTACATTAGTTTGTTCAAGAAATATTGTTGGATTAGTTGTATTGGTGGGTACATTTCCATGGATTATGAAACTAATAATCATAGTTTTTATTTTGCTTTATGTTACTATGTCAAATGTGTGTCCTACAACATGTTATTTCCATAAGGTGATACTTGCAATATACCAATTTTTCTTATTTCCTTACGTGGCCTTATTTCCACGTGTAAATGTACAAATTGAAGATTAACTTGATTATATACATGATTTCTCACTAGGTTACCCCCTAGGGTAATCCATGGAAAAATATTATGATATAAATTACAAAGAGTAAAATGTACTTATTGTAGAAGAATTAACTCGACATAGGAACAACTTATTGTAGTTATCATTTGAATTTATGTAAAAATTCCTACTTGACCTTGATTCCCTATATGTTTAACGTGACAAAAATGTGATTAGAACTGACTCGTTTGTTCTCTAACTCCAAGGCTTACTGGATCTAGTTAGTAACCATTAATCTTACAATGTCAATAAGTTGTTGAGAGACGTGATATATAAGAAATGAGAAGAGGTAAATTTGTTGGTATCCCTATGTCTACTTGTTTTCTAATAAAATATGTTGTCATTTTCAAACATCATGTGTATACGCTAAACTTAGTCTTGACCTACTTAATGAAATTTGTCAATGGTATTAGTCATAGTGTCTCGCCAAGCATATCAACTCTGTTGTCAAAGTTTAAAAGTTAGATGAGGCATCAAGTAATACCTTACAAAAGTGATTCCCTTGTGTTCAATAAGTTATGATAAGGAATGAACTATATTCCTCAATTGTGGATTCCTTAACCACCCCAAGAGCTACTAAACTAAGAAATGCTTAAAAATCAAAGCAAAGTAATAAGATAAAATATGTAAAATAAATTGATTGATTGTTTGGATTTCTTTAGTGATTTACTATTTATGGTATTTATAGAGGAAATTATTCGTCTTAGCTTAGAATTTTGGCCTACATAAATGCTACCCCATTTGATTATTTAGGCGAGTTGTGTGTGATTTTCCCCTTTTCCTAGGAAACCTGACACCCCATGTTTGACTCATGTCTTCAATATTACACCATGTTTCATTTACTATATCCCCAATGTGAAAATTTCCTTATAATGTTGTTGTGTAATCTATGAACTCTTTGATTAGTGGTGCTATTAGCACATAACTTGGTCAAAATTCCTAATTGTCTATTTCTATTGTGTTTCGATTGAGTCTAAGGACTTGGTGATCATGATACAGCCAAGTAGACGTTGGAAAGATTCATTTGACTCATATTTGATTGTGTTAATACTCGCCTGACCTTTCATCGACATAGATGATTTCTCTTATCTATTAGTTGTTTCCCTTTCGATTTTATCCGACTATTTAATTATTTTCAAGTATAAACATCAAGTAAATC